GCATAGCTGCCTTCAGAGTCCCACTTAACGATGCTGCATTCCCACTGTCATGCATAACGTGGGCTATAGTTTCAGGTGTTATGTTTTAGAAAGATTTTTAAAGATATTTTAACCAATATTTTCAGATATTTTCAGTGGAAGAGGTGAATAATTTACCCTCTCACTGGAAGGGTTGATTCAAATAACCTAGGTTTTCCATCTGCTTTCCATCTCCTAAACATTTATTGATATTTCTAATCTGCTATTCTACTCTGCAATCTCTGTCATTATGTACTAACGTTGTTTTTACTCTTTTACTGTGATTTTAGAAGGAACAGAAATAAAAGTATGATTTTAGGAGGAGCAGAAATAAAATAATATGTTCAGTCTTCTGAGGTACTACTATATTTAATCTGATTTTTTTTCTTCCAACATTTAAGTTTCAAGGGTACATGTGCAGGTTTGTTACATGGGTAAACTATGTATCACTGGGGTTTGGTGTACAAACAATTTCCACATCCAGGTAGTGAGCCTAGTGTCCAATACATAGTTTTATATCCTCACCCTCTTCCCACTCTCCATCCTGAAGTAAGCCCCAGAGTCTATTTTTTCCCTCTTTGTCTTCATGTGTACTCAATGTTTAGCCCCTTCTCATAAGTGAGAACATGTGGTATTTGGTTTTCTGTTCCCGCACTAATTCACTTAGGAGAGTGGCCTCCATCTGCATCCATGTTGCTGCAAAGAACGTGATTTCATTCTTTTTTATGACTATGTAGTATTCCATGGTATATATATAGCACGTTTTCTTTATCCAGTTCACGATTGACATGTAGGTTGATTCCATGTCTTTGCTACTAGGAAAAGTGCTGCAATGAACGTCTGCATTTGTTTCTGTGGTATAACGATTATATTCCTTTGGGTATATACCCAGTAATGAGGCTGCTGTGTTGAATGGTAATTCTGTTTTAAGTTCTTTAAGAAATCTCTAAACTGCTTTCCACAATGGCTGAACTAATTTGCATTCCCACCAACACTTTGTGTAAGAGTCCCCTTTTCTCTGCAACCTCACCTACATCTGTTATTTTTTGGCTTTTCAGTAATAGTCATTCTGATTTGTGTGAGAGGGTATCTCATTGTGGTTCTGATTTGCATTTCTCTAATTATTAGTGATATAGAGCTTTTCATATGCTTGTGTTGCAGGTATGTCTTTTTCTGAAAAGTGTCTGTTCATGCCCTTTGTCCATTTTTAATGAGATTGTTTGTTCTCTGCTTATTGATTTGTTTAAGTTCCTTGCAGTTTCTAGATTTTGACCTCTGCTAGATGCATAGCTTGCATATATTTTCTTCCATTCTGTAGGTTGGTTGTTTACTCTGCTGATAGTTTCTTTTGCTGTGCAGAAGCTCTTTAGTTAAGTCATACCTGTCAACTTTGGTTTTTGTTGCAATTGCTTTTGATTTCATTTATTTGTTTTTGTTGTTGTTGTTGTTTGAGACAGAGTCTTGTTCTGTCACCCAGACTGGAGTACGGTGGTACAATCTTGGCTCACTGCAACCTCTGCCTCCTGGGTTCAAGCAATTCTCCTGCCTCAGCCTCCAGAGTAGCTGAGATTACAGGCACATGCCACCATGTCCAGAAATTTTTTTGTATGCTTAATAAAATGGGGTTTCACCATGTTGGCCAAGCTGGTCTCAAACTCCTGACCTCAAATGATCCACCGCCTGAGCCTCCCAAAGTGCTGTGATTACAGGCGTGAGCCACCGTGCCCAGCCTGCAATTGCTTTTGTAGTCTTTGTCATGAGATCTTTGCCAAGGCCTGTGTCCAGAATGGTATTTCCTAGATTTTCTTCTAGAGTTTTTATAGTTTTATGTTTTATGTGTAAGTCTTTAATCCATCTTAAGTTGATTTTTGTATATGGTAAAAGGAAGGGGTCCAGTTTCAATCTTCTGAATATGGCTAGCTTGTTATGCCAGTACCATTTATCGAATAGAGAGACCTTTCCCTGTTGCTTGTTATTGTCAACTCTGTCGAAGATCAGATGGTTGTAGGTATGAGGCTTTATTTCTGAATCTTCTAACCTGTTCCATTGGTCTATGGGTCTGTTTTGTACCACTATCTTGCTGTTTTGGTTACATGCTGATAGTGGTACAAAAACTGAGCCTTGTAGTATAGTTTGAAGTCAGGTAGTATGATGCCTCCAGGCTTTTTCTTTTTGCTTAGGATTGCTTTTGTTATTTGGGCTCCTTTTTGTTTCATATGAATTTTAGAATCTTTTTTCAATTCTGTACGATAATTTGATAGGAATAGCATTGAATCTGTACATTGCTTTAGACAGTATGGCCATTTTAACAATGATTCTTCGAAGCTGTCCATGAGCATGGAATGTTTTTCCATTTGTTTGTGTCATCATTGATTTCTTTTAACAGTATTTTGTAATTCTCATTTTAGACATTTTTCATCTCCCTGGTTAGCTATATTCCTTGCTATTTTATTCTTTTTTGTGGCTATTGTAAATGGGATTGCATTCTTGATTTGGCTCTCAGCTTGGACATGGCTGGTGTATAAAAATGCTACTGTTTTGTACATCAATCTTGTATACCAGTTTTGCTGAAGTTGTTTATCAGTTCTAGGAGCCTTTGGATAGAGACCATAGGGTTTTCTAAGTATAGAATCATATTGTCTGCAAACAGGGATAGTTTTACTTCATCTCTTCCTATTTGAATGCCTTTTATTTCTTTTACTTATTAGATTGCTCTGACTAGTACTTCTAGCACCATACAGAGCAAGGGTGCTGAGAAGGGGCATCCTTGTCTTGTTCCAGTTCTCAAAAGGAATGCTTCCAGCTTTTGCCCATTCTCAGTATGATGTTGACTATGGGTTTGTCACAGATGGCTCCTATTATTTTTAGGTATGTTCCTGGGCATCCTTTGATGCCTTGTTTGTTGAGGATTTGTAACATAAAAAGATGTTGAATATTATCAAAAAACTTTTCTGTGTCTATTGAGATGATAATGTGGTTATTTTTAGTTGTATTTATGAATCACATTTATTAATTTATGTACATTGAATAAATCTTACATCCTAGAAATAAAGCCTACTTGATTATGGTAGATCAGCCTTTTGATGTGCTGCTAGATTTGATTTGCTAGTATTTTGTTGAGGATTTTCGTGTCTATGTTCATCAAGGATATTGGCCTGGGGATTTGTTTTGTTCTTGTGTCACTGCCAGGTTTTGGCATCAAAATGATGCTGACCTCAGAGAATAAATTAGGGAGGATTCCTGCCTCAATTTTTTGGAATGATTTCAGTAGAGTTGACACCAGCTCTTTTTTATACATCTAATAGTATTCAGCTATGAATCTGGTCCAAGGTTTTTTCTGTTTGGTAGGTTTTTTATCACCGATTTAATTCCAGAACTCATATAACAATTTTGTACATAATTACTATAGAAAATTTGGAAATCTAGAAAAGTATTTTTAAAATGAAAACATTCATTCATAATTCCTCCACCCAGAATCAGACACACTTAACATTTTGGCATATTTTCTTCCAGATATTTTTCTATATAATAATTTCTTTGCAACCTTAAAAATGTACTGACAGAAAATTTTATAAACTGTTTTTTGCCTACATTTTACTTTATAATTGCTTCCTTGTGTCATTAAAAGTTCTCTGTAAACACTCTAGTGTCTACATAATGTTCCATACTAATAGTCTACAATAATTTATTTACCAATTCCTCTATTGTTAGACAATTGAATTATATCTCATTTTATGCTATTTTTAAATAACTTACCTCAATTTCCTACTTCAGGAAAAAACTATATAGATGAAGATTGATCATAAAGATAGCTATCACTGGATCCCATGGGTAGTCCAGATGCTATGTATCCCTTGGAATCATCATGAGATCTACCATAATACAGGCTGTAAGGTCTAAATTTTGAACTTTTAACCAAAACTATAGAATACAGAACTGTTAAGTGTTCTGTATCATATAAAACCCAATCCAGGAATTATTTGCAACACAAAAACGAGATCTCATACGCAATAAAAATCTCATATGCACAATCATTTTTGGATCTTACTAACAATCAAAGTAAAGGTAAAAATATTAGAAGGAGCTATGTTCTAGAGGTTTACAGGAAAATGGAAATAGAGATACTGTTTAACTGATATCACATGTGAGTCTAGGACAGCAAGAACTCCAAGGGAAGATAACAATCTTACCCCATGAAATGAATTTGAGATGAAATGGAACCCCAGTCATTAATTCAGTTTGGGACTGTTATTTCAAATAAAGAGTTTTTTAACATCTCAAGTTAAATACATATAACAGGATTTTCAAAAAGGAAGATGGAAATAAACTTTTAATGAGTAAATCTACTATAAAACAACAAACACATTGGCCAACTTGCAAAACTTTCATTAGTTTTATAGCATTTACACTTTTACCCAGTAATTCCACTTCTGGGAATTTACCCAATGGATATACTTTGTACATGCAAACGTATATATGCATTAAGATTACTCATTGCAGCATTTTCAATGGTTAAATTTAAGAAACAACTGAAATTAACATAAATAGGAAGCTTGTTAAATAAATTATGGTACATTCATAATTTGCAATACTATGCAGATAATAAAAATGAATGTGGGAACTTTTTCTGTACTAATATGAACAGATCTCCAAGATATACTACGAGGCACAAAAAGCAAATACAGTTTTTATTTTATGTTACCATTTGTGTTAAAGAAAAAAGAAAAAAAAAGAACATATGCTTTTAAAAAATTCTCTGAAAAAATCATCAAATAACTGACAGTAGTTTTCTCTCTGGGCAGATGAAGACAGTATATCTTTAAATATTTTTTTGATATTTGAACCATGTTACTGTACTTCCTTTTCAAAAGAATAAATAATTTTTAAGGTATTAAAAATTTTTAAAGGCCGCCAAAGATTTATATAGTTGATATAAGGTCTTAGTAGCATCCATCTAACACAAGGTGTTAAGAAAAACTTACACTGACTGAAATTTGCTTGTCCATGCTGCAGAAGGACGTAGAGCTGAAGAATAAGTTGTGGGCAGCCTTCCAGGTAGGTCTCAAATAGTCTGAGCATGCTCAAATCAGTCACTCTATCTATAACTTCTTTATGTAGATCAATTTGTTCTTCCATGAAGTTACTAGTATTGCTGTCATATTTGAAAGCTGCATGGTAACCCCTTTTCAAGGCAAACCAATACCTATAAAGTAAACATAAACATTTCTCTTTAGGCTTATATTCTTTGTAACATATATGTTAATACACATAATATTTGGAAAAAGGAATATGTGTTTTAAGTATACAATTTTTCCACAAACTCTCTCTATTACAGAATTTTTTATAAACATCTCACAGTGGCTTTTTGGAGATTGAGACCCTGTAAACTTTTATTATATATTTGATGTGCCATTTGCGTACTAGGTCTATTAAGTATATATAAACTCATTTCATCTTTGCAATAATTACGTGAGTTAAGGAGATATCATTCCATTTCACAAATGGTAAAACTAAAGCTGAGAAAGATAAAGTGATTTGCTGAAAGTTACACAGATAGTAAGGGGCAGACACAGGGTCCAAACCCAAATCTTATAATTTCTAGTCTTAACCACTACTTTCTGAAAGATAAACTGCAATTTTCCATTCATGCAATTGTTCTGAACTACAACACAGATATATTCCCTTAAGAGAATGACAAGGTTGAAGATGAGATTGAATCTTCCTTTAGAAAGATTCAATTACTCAATACCTACAAGGTGCTAGGCTCTTTGACCATTACCATCCCGGAAAATATATAAAACCTTAAAGACTCTTGAAATAACCCTGCTCAGGCTCTTCTTCTGAAAGAATTTTAAAGTGAACACAAATTATCATTCTATAGATAAAATCAATAACAAAAAAAAAATTGAAACATTTATTTAGAAGAAATCAGAAGCTAGCAAAAAGGCAACCAGGATTCTACCCCAAAGCTTACCAAAATTCTTCATCTATGTCTCAGTTTCCACATAAAAAAAATAAAGGCAGTGATATATGCACTGTTTCAACCTGTTCCTTCTGCCAATGTTTCCCATTTCAGTAAATGGTAATAACACTCAACTATATTGCTCAGACCAAAAATGTAGGAATAATTCCAACTCCTCTTTTTTCATGTCCTATAAAAATTCCTCAGCAAGTTCGCTTGGCTGTTGTTTCTAACTTCAAATATATCCATAATCTAAACAATTCTTACCACTTCCACTGCTACCACCCCTGTTTAAGCGGCCAACTCTCTACCCTGGATTATTTCAACAGTCTCATAATTGGCCACTCTGATTCTACTCTTGCTCCCATATAACCTATTCCCTACACAGAATTCAAATTAAACATTTTAAACATAATTCAGGTGTCACTCCTCATTGGGGTAGAAAATGTTCCAGTGATTTCTATCAAACTTAGAATGAAATCCGAAGTCCTTACCATATGTTACAAGGCCCTCCACGATCTACCACCCACACATGCAACCACAACAACTACCTTTCCATCTCATCTCTCTCATACTTCCAGTATGGCCTCTTTGCTGTTTTTCTCAATTTAAAGGCCTTTGTCCTTGTTAATCCCTCTGTTTGGAACTCTTCTAAATTCCAAACATTTTCAGTTTGCTCCTTAACTTCACTCACGTCTCTACTCAAATATTACTTATAGACACCTTCCAGACCATACTATCTAAAGTACTACTCTCTATCATATTCTATCTCTTTACCCCATATTATTTTTCTTCAAAGTTATTATTGATAAAGTATTATCACTACCTGACACATTATTTATTTTGGTTTATTATCTTTACCTTCTCACAAGAATGTAATCTACATGAAAGGACAGATTTATTTTGTTCATTACTATATCCTAAGCAACTGGAACAGTATCTGGCACATAATAGGTGTTCAAGAAATATTTACTGAAGTAATAAATGAAAGCTCATGACATTTTTTTTCCATAAGATAAACAGACTGTAGCTATGAAAGGACTTTGGAAAGCTGAAAGTAAAACACAAATGTAAGATTTTTCCATTGTAAATGATAAATATATACATACGCAAGGATTCTTCATCTGGCAAAAAGAAGCATATTTTTACCATAACAGTTCTGGATTAACATGATCTATTATACTCAATGTGGGCTAGATGCCAGGGTAGGGAAGAATGTCAACAAAAATGATGAAGGCATGCTCTCTACCCTCAATGACCTTACAACCCAATGGAAAGGTCAAGCCTGTAAACTACTAGCTGCAGTATAACACAGAAAAAAAAAATAGTCATTCATTAGAAAGGCAAATGTTGAGCTGTGAACATACTGAAGAAAAAAGTGATTAACAATGCCTAGGATTTATAAGCAAGATTTATAAGAAAAGTCATGTTTTAGGCTTTTCTGAGTATCTGGCATAGTAGAACGTAAGTGATTCCTATTCTTGAAGTGGTTTATAATCCAGTAGGGTAGATACCATTAAAAAGCTTGAGAAATTCGCAAGTATAAACAGATACATACCTAGAGCATAATTATTACACACAGCAGAATTGAGAGAGGTAGCAGAGCAAAGTAATTAAGAATGCAGACTCTAATAATGTCAGAATGCCCTGGTTCAAATTCTGGCTCCACTACTTCCTTGTTTAATCTCTCTGTGCTTCAGTTTCCTCATCCGGTAAATAGGGCTAGTCAACATACCTCCCTCACAGGGTTGATATGAGAATTAAATGAGTTAATATTTGTAAAAGGCTTAGACCAGGACCTGGCACATGTTAAGTATCTGTTAAAAACAAAACAGATAGTGCTGCTTACAAATGTAAACATTCACATTTCATGTGTCTTTAGGTAGAAATATTTTCTAATTCTGCAACAATTAATGGCAAATCTACACTAAGTTCTGCTTATCTAAGGGTATTTCATAGAAAAGGGGATATGATTTTTTAACCAATAGGACACTCTTTCACTTCTATGAAACAAATAAATAGGCCAAAAAAAAATAGAGAGGGCTTTCTTAACATAGTGTATTCCCATATTTTTATCTCTATGTCTTCTTTTATTTGAAATTTAAACAAACAGCTTCCAATAATGATGAATTACATCGTATCAGCCTAATTCCCCTACTGATTACAAATATAAATTCCAGACAAAACATAAAAGAAAACAAGGCAGAAAAGAGCAACAAAAGTAAGACTGGTGAACATGAAGACAGGTACAATAGATCAAATGTCTGTGTTGCCCCAAAATTCATATGCTGAAACCTAATCCCCAATGTGATGTTCAGGTGGAAAGCCTTTGGAAAATGATAAAATGAATGGCATTAGTACACTTATAAAAGAGGCCCTAGAGAGCTGCCCTGCCCATCCACCATGTGAGAACACCATGAGAAGGTACCACCTATGAACCAGAAATCAGATCTTCACCAAACACCAAATCTTCCAGCACCTTGCTCTTGGATTTCCCAGCCGCCAGAACTGAGAAATAAATTTTTGTCGTCTAAAACCTGTTATAGCCGCCTCACTAGACTAACACTCAAGAGCCTTAAGACCTCACTAGACTAAGATTAAGGATCAACAGAAATCACCCAAACTAAAGCACATAGAGGAAAAATTTAGGAGAACAAAATGAACAGAACAGCAATAACAGGTAAAATTAAAGCCCTAGAAGAAAAGAGAGGGGGCATTAAAAAATCTTTAACAAAATATTAACACAAAACATTTGCTACATTTTATCAAAACCAGTAATATAGACTCAAAAAGCTCAATGAATCCAAGCAAAATAAATACCCAAAACATCATACACAGGCACATCTTACTCAAATTGCTGAAAATCAAATATAAAAAGAAAGCATGAAAAATAGAGGAAAAAAAAGACATATTCCTCACAGGGAAACAATGAGAATGTTGGCTGACTTCTCATCAGAAACAACAAAAGCCAGAAAACAACCATATCAATAATTACACTAAATGTAAGTGGATTAAGCACTCCAATTAAAAGAGATTATCAAACTGGATTTTTAAAAAGCAAGATATAACTTAATGTGATTTGCAAGAGACTCTCTTTAAACATAAATACTCAGATAGTTCGAAAGGAAATCACCAAATAAAAACCTGATATGGCTATATCAATATCCCAAACAAAATAGACTTCAACTCAAGGAATACTACCAGAGATAAAGATAATTATCATGTCATAATAATATAAGAATAAATTCATCGTTAATACATAGCATTTTTAAATCTGTATGCACCTAATAACAGAACTTTAAGATACACAAAGCAAAAACTGTCAAAGGTAAAGGGAGAAAAAGATAAATCCACATTCTCGGTTGAGAATTTTATCACCTGACTCTCAGTAATTGAAAGGAAAAGGAGATCTTAAAAAAATCACTAAGAATATAGATAATTTAGCATTATCTGCCTAGTTGATCTAATTAATATTTATAGAACATTACATTCAATAACTAAAAATTAGAAATTCTTTTAAAATGCATATGAAATAGTCACGAAGTTAGACTACATGCTGGGCTATAAAAACAAGTCTTAATAAATGTAAAAAGACTGTAATCCTCCCTCTTTCTCTTCCTCTTTCTTTCTCTCTTTCTTTTTTTTCTTACTTTCTCTCTTTCTTTTTTTTTCTTTCTTTTTCTTTCTTTCTTTAAAAAATAAAAAATTTTTTAAAAATACTCATGATAAAAAAAAGACTGTAATCCTATGAAATATGTTGTTATAATAAATTTAAGTGAGAAATCAATAACCAACATGTTTTTTAAAACCCCAAAGATTTGGAGATTGAGGTAAAATTTATCCTAAGGTTTTATAAATATAGAACCCTAATAAATTTGAACATGACTACATGACCTCTCTCTAAGGAGTTTTAAAATGAAAAATAGGTAAGAAAGAAAGTTTAACTATTTAATACACATTTAACTCCATAGAAGGGCCTAAGAATCTGTGGGAGGAAGTTTTTAATATAATTTAAACTTTTTAATGTGTATTAAAAAGAACAAAAGTCATTTCCATATTTTAAATAATTCAAATGCCTTTCATATTGCTATCAAAAGAAAACTCTGCTTTGGCAAAGAAAGGTTTTAATCACAAATCACACATCAAATTGAAATGCAAAACTGTCATTTAATTTATATTCTGGAAAATGAAACATTCTACTCCACAGACCCCTGAGCAGTAATAGCACACATAGTAGCAAC